TTCAGAGGTTCAGAGGGACCTAGGCAGACTGGAGGAATGGGCCGACATGAGCCTTGTAAAACTGAGCAGGAACAAACGCAAAGGCGTGCACCTGGGAAGGAAGAGCCCCTTGCAGGAATATATGCAGGCTGACAGCTGACTGGCTGGGGAGCAGCCCCGCAGAAGAGGTGCTGGGGGTCTTGGCAGATGGACAGCACGCTGAAGGTGAGCTGAAGGTGTGTCCTGGTGGCCAAGAAGGGCGAGAGCCTCCTGCACTGCGTTATCAGGAGCACAGCCAGCAGTGCAAGGGAAGTGATTTTGCCCCTCTACACAGCACTTGTTGGACCCTTTGTGGAATATTGTGCCCAGGTTTGGGCCCCCCAGTAGAAGAGAGACATTGATAAACTGGAGCAAGTTCAGCAGAGGATCCTCAAGATGAGGAGGGGCCTGGAGTGCTTGCCCTGGTGGGGGGGAGGCTGAGGGGCCTGGGCTTGTTCAGCCTGGAGAAGAGAAGGCTTCGAGGGGGGCCTGATAGCCTCCTCGTAGGTACTGCAGGGTTTCTATGAAGGACAGTCGGGCTTTTGACAGTGGTACGTGGCAGGAGGGCAGGAGACAACAGACGCCAATGGAAAGGAGAGAGGTTTGCACTGGACGTAAAGACATCCCGGCCTTGGAACGGGTTGCCCAGAGAGGTTGTGCAGTCTCTGTCCTTGGAGGTTTTCGAGATCAGACTGGCTAAAGCCATGAGCAGCCTGGTCTGATCTCCTAGCTGACCTTGCTTTGAGCAGGAGGTTGGACAAGAAACCTGTTGAGGCCCTCTCACCCTGAATTATGCTATGACTCTAAGCAGATTTTATTTTTTCCATCCTGCAAATGAAAGTTGGACAACTTATAGATAAATTAAAATGTCTTGAGCACTTATTTTTGAAGCAGTTCCTCATAGCTGTGAGCTGGGGTGTTGTTCTTGCATGGAACTCTCATTTTATGGATCAATTTCAATCTTACTTCCCATTAAAGTTTAAAGTTTTTGTAACTCATGTGGTGATTTTTTTTTTTTTCTGTCTCTGGTGTCTTGCTGTTAAAAAGAGAGCAGTTCCTGAGGAAACCAATTCAAAAGGGGTTTTTTATTTGCCCCTCTCCACCTCCCCAGAGGAAGAGGCATGAAAAGTGCAAAATAAAAGGAATAGCTGGGCAGTGGGATGCACATAGACTTCTCAGCATAATCTAACTCTTTGGAAATCATAAAAGATGATCTGAAAGACTTTATCTGAAGTTATGCAACTGTACAGCAGCCATCAGTGAGAATCACTGTATCTGTCTTTCCCTGGCTGTAGGATTTTACTGCAAAGTAAAGGTGATACCTGATTTTGTTCTCTGTAGGCCCAGGGAATACCACCAGTCGATTCCTGCAATCTCTAGCTGGAATTATCTTGCTATGTATTTCTAGTTTTTAGAGATTGTACTAGTGAAACTATCAGCGCTTACCTCTGGCAACTGCTTCTTGTGATTAGAGCTGCCAACTGCAGCAAAACATGTATTGCAAACATTAATTTGAATTCTGAACAGCTGTTTAATTCATGTTCTTGTACCTCTGTTGTTCACTGTTTGCAAGCATTCATGCAAATAAATTTGTCTGCATTAATGCAGTCCTTTACATGAATAGTCATTTTCACAAGCAAATGATATTCTCTGAGAGAGATATTGTCACTTTTGTTTTTGACCTTCTTTTTCTCCATTGAAGACTATCAGTTGCACAAAGAGCAAAATAGTTAAGCGTGATATGTGTGATGAAGCAAACGCCTTCATTAGTGAACAGTTCATGACCATCTCTGTTACTGATGTTTGTTCAGCATGTGATTAGATAAGGAAAATTTGTTTTTTAAAATAAATAAAGTTTAGTTTGCAAACTAAGAAAAAGACCTGCGTTTAAAAAGAATATTAATCACAACAGATAATCTGAACATCTCAGCTTGTGAGCATCAATAGTCATGATTTAACTGTGAAATTATTTGCCAAGTCTCCCTAGCAAGTTATAGTACATGCTGACTGGCCAGTGGGTGGGAGTTGTTTGAGATGAGTACTTTGCAGTAATGTTTTATGTCTAACATCTGCTTTCTGCATCCTCCTGTTCAGTTTGTGACCATTTGCATAGAAGTGTTTATGTTTAGAAGCATATCTATATTGCTGCTATGGACTTTGTCTGAATTTTTTCATGCTTTCCAGCTGATATATTTAAGACATGGCAAAAAGCAATGTGGGTGATTCATAGGTTAATCTTTAATGCCTGTCCTTTATTTTCAGATGTGATTTTTTTTTTTTTTATCCAGGTAGACTTTATCATGGTATGTGATCTGCTTGCAAGAAGGAATTGATACAAAGTAGTATTTTATTAGTGAATGAAAGAGGCAACTTATTGGATTTTTTTTTCTAAATACCTGCATGTTCTTGGACTTTCGTTGCTTGCTTTTGCTGAGCTTTTAGTCAATAACTGATTCTTACAGTGAGGCCTTTCTCTAAAGCATAAGGAGATGTTACCTGAGACAGGGACCTATTCTATTATTTCATATAAGTTGTTCTATTTTATATTATGGTTACTGCATGCAGTACATACTTAATGCTTATGTTTTCATGTATATTCCATACTTGTTCAATTTCCCATATGGTGTTGTATGAACTGTGTACAATAGCACTGAGTTTTGCAAAGCAATCTGTTATTTGTAGATTATGACTATGATGCAAACGTCATTTGATCATATCTTTGTCATTTTACAAAGATTTTTGTCATTTCTCTATTTCTGTATTGCAGCTTGTTCTCTGTTTTCTTAGTATCTGTTATCACCTTTTTATCGCTTTACAAAGCAATAGCTGAAGTGCAAGATAGGCAGCATAGGGAGAGGTAAAAGGATTTCTCCTATCTGATGTGGCTTTGTGTGTGCAGTCCTTTTTCTTCCTTTCCCTTACTTCATCTCCAAACCTCCTCCCTCCCCCCCCTCCCCCCCCCCCATCTCAGTAAAAACACTGGGGTGACAATTTGACATTAGATTTTGTAAAGCTAGTTTGGCAATGAATCTTGCGGTGATAACATTATAATGAATAAGAAGCTGCTTTTAGGACCACGGGTAAGGTACTGTCACCCCTCCCCTCCACTTACTCAGTAATTCTCACACAGCCCCTTGGGGCCTTTCAGTGGTATTTGGAGACATCTGCTTTCTAAAGGACTGCTGCAATGAGATTGTTACCATGGTGTTCTAAAATTTCCAGCCTTTTCAGGCACAGGAGAAAGTCAGTCTAGCCAGGCTTTTGCATCGTTTCACTCTGTATGTTTCAGGTAGTGTTGTGACTATTTTAAATATCACTGCTACCACCACCACCCCCCACCATTTACAAGGGATTTTTTTTTTTCTAGTAATAACATGTTGCCTCTGAACTTTTCAAATATAGGGTGCCTGCCAATTATCTGGCACTGTAGCAAGGCAAAGCCTGTTGCCATGGAGCTTTGTAGTCTTGCTTCGCCAGTCAGCGTACCTGCAACTAGAGAACTTGTTAAATGATCGCTTTGTAGAAGTAGTTTCTTCATGGTGAGGGAAAATTTAAGGAAAAAAGGAAAAAAAAAAAATGGGTGGAGGGCTTACAAAAAAAAAACATTCTTTTCCGAGCAGGCCTCCATCACATGCTTCTGCTCTGGCAAATTGCCGTTTCCTCTAGGAATTCTTATCTGTGTCAGTCAATTGGTGTTTGATCTATCGATCATACAATGCATGTGTGTGGCTTATTTTGCTTGCTTTAATGGTTTTCCCTCCGTTTTCAGTTTTGTTTTGCCTTTCTGTGGATTAGTGCCATGTTAGCATGGTGAGAAGCGTGGCAGAGGATGATGCATCACATCTCTGTGTGAGCGCTTTAGTGAAGGGTACATCAACAAACAGGAATGCTTCCAATACCTGCGCATTACCCAGTTGTGTGAGTCGGCAAGATTCTGGTCCAAATCAAGAAGCAGCTTAGCTGTTAGGTATCTCTTTAATAATTATGCAAAAAAATCTATTTTTAGTTGAACTCTTCCACCCAACTTTCTCCCATTTTCACCTAAACTGACAGCTTAGCGTAGCTGTAGCTATTTGTTGTCTCAGTGTTTGCCTCTGGAGGCTGGAACTGACTGATGTCTTACCGAGAGTCTAAGCATATTCAAGTACCGCTTTTAATTTCAGTTCTTGATCTCTTCTGTGCATGTGTTTTTCTTTGTCATGTGATGCTATATGGTGCCTATATACAGACATTTACTTTCGGGTACTGGATTCTATGCAGAACTGCAAAGAGTTTGTCATTTTTCTTTAGAATATATATGTTGCTAAAGTATGTCTGTGTCTATGAGGTTATTCCTGTTCCATATGACCTGCTGTTCTGCCTACCATAAATGACTTTTGTTTCAACAAAGTTGCATCATTGTGTAGTTATGGTATCCTTATGGTTCCTGTTATCAAATAAGTGGTTTATTTGTGTATAGGTTTACTTTCTGTCCATATATATGGAAGTACGTCTTTTGTAACTCCTTTGTGTCCTGTCGCTGAAACCCGTAGAGTTTTCAGTTAAGATCAGATAGGATCGAGGTTTTTTTGTGACTGTAGCTGTTTTAGTTTTGTTCCCCAAAACCTGGAAATACTGGTTCAGGTGTAGCTGCGGTACCGGAAAAAGATGGCAGTTCCCTTAGAGTTGCCTGGCTTGGTTCCCTGGAAGGTATGGTTGTTGACTTAGGGAACCTTTATATCACTGACTTTGGGGCTTCATTGCTGTTAGAAATTTGACTACTGCTTTTTTATGTTGATTCTTATCCTCCATGGGGAATATATCACATCATCAACAGAGGGTGTGAAATAATGGCCTGATAAACAGTATCAGGTTGTAGGTCATCATGCTTGTCTCCTAGTTCCTGGAGGTGTGAATCTTGTTCAGGTACTGCATGATGTCTGTGTAAGCAATGCATGGGTTAAACGCATCAGATGGAACATTCCTCGTTTACTTCTATGCAGATGTGCCTTTTTCTGAAGAATGTTGGCTTATGGAGTGGCAGCTGTTAATGCAGATGTTATTCTAAAGGAATCTCCTGCTGGTACGTAATGTGTACAAACAGTTTTGGATACTCGTTAGTGTACTGGTATGATATCTGAGCTTCTGAGAAATAGGGGAAAGGAAAAATACTTCCATCTCCTGGGGAAATTTGATACCAGAGAGACTAGGATCAACAGATCCCAGACAAGTGGCAACACCTAAATATTAGTGGGAATGCTTAGCCAAGCAACGTTCTTGATAATCTTGCTTGAAAGAGAGATTCAGGACGAAAAATAGGCAACAGTGACTCCAGAAATATGCGTGTTTAAATGAATAGTTATGCCTTTTTTATGAGTCGTGGTGATGCTCAACTTCTGCAGTGCTCCCATATCTCCTGGCTTATCGGTAGCTAGGTATGGAACCAACCTGTACATCACTCCCAGCGATCCTAGGAATCACTTGTTATGGTTCACATGGAAATTCTTGTTGTCTTCATGAAATGGCCCTGCTGCTGCCAGGTCGTGACACTTAATGCAAATGTATGCTGTGCTATATGCAAGAAAATTTAAAATCCTTTGATATGAAAGGTACTTATTTCTGCTACTAGTTGTAACAGCCTAACTGATGTGCAAGATATATGTTAGTCGTGTAGTCACTGTGTGGCATACTTGCAGAGGAGAATGTCTGACAAAAGGGTTTTTGTCTGGGAATCATTTCAAGCTATGAAATTGGTTCTTGCTTTCTGACAGTCTGCACACTAGTGATGATTACAACTATTAGGTTTAACTTACAATTCAATTATGGCAGGGGGAATTTGAACTTGGAACTTTAAGACTCCTGTAGCCACAATTTGAATATGCTCGGACATGGATTTGGCCTGGGTTGCACTTGTACAGTAAACCCTTTGTCAGGCCTTTTCTCACTTTCCTGTCTCTTCGTTGAGATGTTTGAATGTAAGCATTTTCTTTCTCACACTCCAGCTGCTTCTTTCCCCTCTTCTACAGTCAAGCTATAATCCTTTGGTTTTGATATTGCAGGCTGTTGCCATGGAAATAATTGTAATTTCACAAATTCAGTGCTGTAAGCACTGCAGGAGGCAGTGGAAAAGGTGGTTGGCAAGAGGTATAGCGAGGACATGGGGATAGCTCAGAGGAGTTGTTTTTGAACCTATCCTGAGGTTTTCTGCCCCCTCTCCCTTTTTTTGGGGTTTTCCCTCCTCTGCTTTTTCCTTTTTTGGGGGAGGGGAGGAGAAGTGTTCCTGTTTTTTGTAAATGTGATTTTATTAATGGTTGAAGCTTAACAATTCGGTGTATTCTTAAGTTGCTTGCAGGAGTTATTGCAAAAATGATGCAAAATGTTCTTTTTCTTGTCCTCAGGGTAAGAATATAATGATTTCTTTACTGTTTGTGATAGCTCGCTTTTGGACAAAAAGGCAAGGGCTTAGAACTAAACATGTTGAGTTTAAGTTATGTCTTTAGCCTGAAGAAAACCCTTTCAGAAAAACATGGTTTTCATAAATAGCAAAATAGGCTGAGGTGACATGGCAGGCAGATGGGTGTAAAGCTCTCTGTGTAATTGACAGTATTAAAACCTAATATATTTGTTATTTAATTTTTAGTGTGCTCTGCATTCAAACAAGTGCAGTCCTGAAGATCAGTTCATGCAGCATCTGTTTTTAGCATTATATTGTGATTCTACATCTATACTGAAATCCATAAAGGCATAATGAAGCTTACTGGAAGAAATCAACTTTATAATAAAATAAATTGAATTGGCAGCTTCCACAAGCTTGTAGGCAAAAGTAGTGCTCAGAAGGAGAAATTCTGCTACTGTATGTTTGAAAGCATCACATAGCAGGTTTTTTTCAGATATTTACAACAACTTTCCACTGATTAGTGCAGTTAGAGAATAAATATATTTGTGACTTAAGTTAAGATCTTAGCATTAATTTCTGGACTTGAGTAGGATGTAATCAGTAAGGATGGTGACAGTAAAATTTTAAGGTCTAAAAGGACCTTAATTAAAAACACAGAAAAAATGTTTTAGCCTGCCAGATACATTAAAATGATCTTGTTTTGATCTTTTTCTGCTTTGTTGTTCTGTAAATGGAGATAATAAGATCAACTGTTATAAATGAAAGGGAAACAGTAAGGAATGTTGAACATAGCTGGCTTTACTGGACATATCTGAAATACTAGTGTGTGGTTTTTTTTTTTTTTAGTGCATGAAGTTAGTTATAGAACTTTGACTATGCTAGTAGAATAGAGGTAGCTTTTACTTTTTTTTTTTTTTTTTTTTTCCTTACAGACTGCCTGTAATAAAGCCAGTGATATGATAAATATACTGATTATATACTAATTTTAATTCCCTCCTGATAAAATTGTTTAAAACTCTTGGTAAGGGAGCCATTTAGCCTAAAGGTAGTAGTATCTGACTGATCCTCCGTAATAAATGAATTTGAGGATCTCTGTTGCGTGGATAGCCAGCAGATGTTTTGGTGCTTCATTGCCTCTGTTCCTGTTACAGGTACATGAGACAGCATTGCAGCTATGAGTGGAATTTTAAAGAGGAAGTTTGAAGAAGTTGATGGCTCCTCATCCTGTTCCTGTGTGTGGGAATCAGATGATGATATTTCTAGCAGTGAAAGTGCTGACAGTGGAAATAACGTTCATCCATCAGCTTCTAATCATTTTATCCGTAAGTACTAAAGTGGCGTGTAAGCATGATCCTCCATTTTTACACTAGCTAAAAAGGATTCAGCTTACTTGAAAGAAATGCAGTTTAGGCTATCTGTATTTATTTTGAAGTTTTTTTTCTGTTTTTATTACATTTCAATATTGAGATTGTTAGAAATACTTATTTTAAGAACAACTATTTCTCTAATAGTTGTTTATGTAAAAACTAGTAGCTGTCAGTGAGATTCAAAGTAACTTCACTTTTTTACTAATTCATTTACATCTAGAGAGATTAAAATATTTCAAGCATATGGAAGAGCACTTTCTGTTTTGAGTAGTGATTTGAGTGAAGAGGGAGGAGGAAATATCAGCAGTAACTAGGCTTGAAGTCTAGTGCTTTTGCTTGACCTTGGCAGTTCAGAGTTGAGAGTAGCTTGCATTATCTGCTATTGTAGAATAGCTAATCAGCAAAGGTCATCTACCATACTACCTGAGCCAGCGCAACCCCATAGCCCCCTGTCCTTTTCTTCCACTCATTACAGGAGTAAACTCAGTGTGTAATTCTCCTTATGTGGAATATTAGATTTGCACTTGATATTTATATGAGATGCTCAGAGAAAGCAGAAATTCTTTCTTTGTTCCAATTCAAGACCCAGCTGAACATGAAATAGCTAATTTACAGCATATTTTCTTTTGACTTCTCAGGTTGAGTTTACCAGTTATGAAACTTGCATAATTTATCAAATCTACATAAAGTCAAATATCTGCAGCAAATCATGCGTATAACTGAGTAACAATAAGTGACCTGAACTTTTTTCTGAAAAGTCACATGTAGCTGCTAAGAGGATGTCGCTGTGCTATTTGTGAAACACAACTGGAAGTAAAGTTAGGGTAGTTCCTTACCTGAAACTGAAAAAAGGCTATTCTGAACACCCTGTGCCGCCTTCTGTCTGAGTGGAATACTCAGGGGGGAGTAGCCAATGGCCTCAAGGGTTCAGAGGTTCAGAGGGACCTAGGCAGACTGGAGGAATGGGCCGACATGAGCCTTGTAAAACTGAGCAGGGACAAACGCAAAGGCGTGCACCTGGGAAGGAAGAGCCCCTTGCAGGAATATATGCAGGCTGACAGCTGACTGGCTGGGGAGCAGCCCCGCAGAAGAGGTGCTGGGGGTCTTGGCAGATGGACAGCACGCTGAAGGTGAGCTGAAGGTGTGTCCTGGTGGCCAAGAAGGGCGAGAGCCTCCTGCACTGCGTTATCAGGAGCACAGCCAGCAGTGCAAGGGAAGTGATTTTGCCCCTCTACACAGCACTTGTTGGACCCTTTGTGGAATATTGTGCCCAGGTTTGGGCCCCCCAGTAGAAGAGAGACATTGATAAACTGGAGCAAGTTCAGCAGAGGATCCTCAAGATGAGGAGGGGCCTGGAGTGCTTGCCCTGGTGGGGGGGAGGCTGAGGGGCCTGGGCTTGTTCAGCCTGGAGAAGAGAAGGCTTCGAGGGGGGCCTGATAGCCTCCTCGTAGGTACTGCAGGGTTTCTATGAAGGACAGTCGGGCTTTTGACAGTGGTACGTGGCAGGAGGGCAGGAGACAACAGACGCCAATGGAAAGGAGAGAGGTTTGCACTGGACGTAAAGACATCCCGGCCTTGGAACGGGTTGCCCAGAGAGGTTGTGCAGTCTCTGTCCTTGGAGGTTTTCGAGATCAGACTGGCTAAAGCCATGAGCAGCCTGGTCTGATCTCCTAGCTGACCTTGCTTTGAGCAGGAGGTTGGACAAGAAACCTGCTGAGGTCCTTTCTAACCTCAATTATTTTCTGGTTTTATGGATTGCAGTTCAGGGAGAACTGAACTAGATCTGCTTGTACTAATTTTAGAACTGAGTTCACTGGGAAAAACTGTGTGGTAGCAGCCAGTGTGTGTGTAGTTTTTTGGACTCCTTTTTTTTTTTGTCTAGTAAGTCTGTAGGGAGCCATGTTTCGCTTCATCAACTTACTAGCTCAAGCGTCTGCCAGCTCTGTTATCTGTCTGACCCCTTTTACTGCCAAATGTGTACATCCTGTGTTGTGATTTGATGCTTTAAGGAATCTTGATGCCTTACCTCTGAGGGTGCAGAGAGGAGCTAGGACTGAGTGGTTTTGAAAAGTCCATCTTTTCTATAGGTTTCTTCCAGAACTTAAAATGCTAGTGAGAAGAACAGAGACTGGGAATGGTTTGAGATGCAGGTAGATATGAGGACTACTCTCTCCCCGGCCCCCCAGTCATTACCCTGTTCTGATTGCATTTGAGGCTTTTGTTGTTGGCTCTTGAACTTGAACTCCCTAGCCTAGTGGTAGGGTTTTCAGAGTCTGGAATTTGTTCCTCTTGGCAGTCTTCCAGTGCTTTAGTTTAGTGAATAGCCTTCAGGGCATGATGCAGATGCATTTATTTTGCTTAGCTTTCATTTATTTTCTGTTTTTCTGTGTTTTTTGTTTTTTCATGTTCATTGTTTCATTCGTGGCAAAGCTGCAACTTATTTGCTCGTATTTTTGTAGGCAATGGCAGTACTTCTTTAATGCAATCCATTTTGGTTAACTACTTTGTAAGGTTTTTGTGCGCGGGGGAACCCTGACTGCTACAACAGTAGACTTCATAATTCACAGAGTAACCAGTGTATGTTTTTGTGAAGCAAAAGAGATAACAAAGATTGAATTTAAGGATCATGGCTCTCCACAGTTGTACAACTTAGCACACAATCAGAATGGAAGCCACCTCTGCTTCTTACGGTTGTGTTTATATAAGGTGATGGAGAATCAGATCTATAGTCCAAGAAAATGCAATACTTATGTAAATTAGCTGAGGAACTTCTGGCTATTCTCTTCTTTGTGACCGCAAAGAAAATTTTGTTATTTCTTTATGAAGATATGATACTAAAACTCTTTTTTTCCCCCTAATTTTGCTAGCACCCATTGTTTTTGGCAATATGCTGTTTTGGTGGGGAGAATGGGTTAATCTGAGCAATTACTGCAACAGATTTCTACTTAGAACAGGTATTGTAACAGTATATGATAAGTTGCACATAGACTAAGACTGCTGTTAATTATCAGTGGTCAACATTTTACGTTAATGTGTGTATATTTCTTCTCCTGTGGTAGCATATTTTATTCAAAAATAAATTTTGGGCAGTTTCAAATCAATTAAATGATTACGGTAGCATTATAGCATTATACTAGATTTCTTTGGTGATGTGCACTGGATATGAATATCCTTTTTTCAAAAAAAGTAGTTATGTGTGTTTGTGTGTGTGTGCATATATGTAAAAATACAGTAAATGCAGTAGTTGTATATAGAAATGTTCACTGATGGTTCAAATGTAAAATTTGTAACAATGCCACAGAACTGAGGAGGAGAGTGAGAAGCTGTGGTATTTTTTGTGTATCATAGGTATTTCCTTTAGGATGGTCTCTGCTTAAGGGCAAATGGCTGCAGTAAGCTACTCCTGTCAGTTGTTACTAAGTGTCAGGTGGTTCCAGTAAAAGGTTAGAAGAACTCTGTCATTGAGTTTGGTCTGTGATTTGACCGTAGGAGATGGAGAGTGAAAAGCTGTTGTAGCTGTTGTTAGTCGAGAGTAGAATTTTACGTTGTGGAGTTTCATGTGGCGTGGAAAGAGCCTGAAATAGTTTGGCATGGAGCTGGACCTCCTTGGGTTGGAGCAGAGGCCCTGCAGCTTATAATCCTTTTTTTTGAATAGACTATGTAAGAGTCAAGGAAGCTAATGGCAATATATATTTTTAAAGTGACATTTGCTTTGCCTTAGTTTAAAAGGTCAAAAATGGGATCTCAGGAATGTTGGAGACACTGTCCAAAAGTCCCTCTGGGGTGTCTCAGTCTTGCAGTCAAAGAAGTTCTGTTCCCCAAATCGGAGGACCATACTCAATGTTTTGGAAATAATCTTTCTGTAGTTCATATAGCCCAGGAGTAGAGCAGGGATAATACTACTTTCCAGACTGTGAGCAGATTACTCGAAACCGTAATCATACCTGTTGTTAGGAGATGCTGTGTTAGATTCGAGGAACTACTTGACTCTCTAGTTACGTTCACTGAAGCATTTTCAGAAAGACAACCTGGGCCAGGAGACATTTTCCTGTATCCTATTTTTGTGTCATGACTGACTTTTCAGTTTTTACAGTTTCTATGGCAACTGTGATTTTTGATTGGTAAAGAATAATAATAAAGTGTTAAAAGTTTTAATTTTTTTCTTTTTTTTCTTTTTAGACCATATAGTATTTTTTCCATCAAAAGAGTAGAGTAAGCACACCTAAGATGCTTTTCACTAATCAGTATTGTAATTGAATTGCTGCCTAAATATGGATTCCTGTTTGTGGCAGACTCTACATATACTAATTTTTCAGATAGTACCCATGAGAAAATAGCCTTATTGAAGTTGCTGAATAACTTTATAGGAAACTCCTGATCATTTATACCTAGAATTTAAGACACTTTTAGTTTTCAAGTCATGTAGATGTTTGCATTCCCATGTTAATAGCTTTGAGAAATGGACTTATCAAGACTTGGCCCATGCAGCAGGTTGTTCTCTGAGATTCTTTGGCAATTTTGCAAGTCATCAGCAAAATGATAGTTGGGAACTAAGGGTGGAATTTCATCAGGTGGGAGTCTAAAGAAAGAAGAAAAGAGTAAGGAAATTAAGCGCTGGCTTATAAAAGAACAGGGAGAGTGGTCAGACTGGGGTAATGCAGAGAGGAGCAAGTAGAGAGCTGATCATTGTGGGAAGACAGATTGTTGATTGGGTCATATATGAGAGAAGGAGGTTCCCTGAGATGGGAGGAGCATGACAAGCAACAGTGCTGTGATTTTTGGGGAGGGGGTGTGTGTGTGGTGTGTTTTTTTTTTTCTTTCCCTTTTTTTTTTGTTTTGCTTAAAGCATGAGCCAGAAAGGGGCAGTAACAGATTTTATTTATCAAATATGTCAGTTTGCAGAAAGGGCTACAGAATGGCTGGCTCATAACTGGGAGAAGAGGGAGGGCTAATGA